AAAAAAAAAAAAAAAAGCCTGTGCCTTAAATATTTATCTTTCTACTCAAAATTATCTCTTGATAGCAAATCATGCAGAGGTGTCATTCATTCAAGGGAAGAAAAACTTAATCTCTAATTTAGTACTGATAAGCAAATTCTAGTTCACTCCACAGTAAGCGTATGTCAGAAATACAACACACTTAGAAAAGTGCCAGAGAACTAGTCATAGAAACGTCTGTGATTTCTGTCCCCATAACTAGCTATACCATTATTTGCTTTTATAGAATAAAATAAGATGTGGCTTACCAAGACGTCCTGCCTGTGCCTTCTGTTTGGCAGTCTGTAAGAAATTCAAGCACTGCCTTGAACATTTACATCACTAGTAACCACTTTTAGTGTTGAAAAATAGATCTTATCTGCCATCTACTGAATTGCACTGGAATTACACTCCACACTTCCGTAATTTCTCCCACTGAAACACAGAGCAGGGTCTGTGGGCTGTAATAGACCTGTACTCAAATGGAATCATATCTTTAAGTTTCTGTACTTCACTATAGTTTGTTCACTGTCGTCAACACAAAGGAACTGAAGGAAGTGCTGTTAATAATTCATGGATTATTAGCTGAATTCAAAAATACTAACCAAAGCGCAGTTCCAGCAGAGGTGGCAGTGTGGAGCTGCTTCTTTTCCCTCTGATATTTTGATCAGACAACTATTCTGTTTCTTGGATAAAGTCCAAGGCTTATCCTCTGTTGGCTGTATCAGTAAGCTCAAGGAAATCATTCTCATGATTCGTCTCTTATCTTTGAAAACAACAACAAATATAGCAAAACAAACAAACAAAAAACTGAGCCAGTGCAGCTAAGGAATGCTAGCTGCCCAGCTCTGAATCAGTCCTCAACCTAGTATTATTACATAGTGCCCGGTCACGGTAAGGATATGAAGATGACAAAAATTCCCCTCCGCTCCCTGCCCAGTTCTCTCCTGAACTCAGCTTTTTCACCACACTGTGAGCAAAGTTCATTTCCCTAAGCTAAGAACCTCAGGGTTCTTTTTTATTTATAACGTTCTCTTTTTCTCTTCCCCCACCTCAGAATTTGCCTAATAGGAAAAATATGTCTATAAATATATTTCTGAGACTGAAAGCATGAATTCCTCACCCACCTGTATATCTTCCTTCCCCCTTAATCCCTCCAATGGAGGTAAGGACAGGTTGGGCTGAGAATTCAGTCAGGACTCCCAGGGGCTCAGACTCTGGGAAGCAGGGTCTGGAGTGACGTCCGGGAGAGGCAGCAGGAGAAGCGCTTTAGGCTCTAAAGTTCCCTGCTTGCTCTCACTCTCCTCTCCACCGCGCAGAGGTGCCCAGAGTCTGTTTCCTCCCCAGCCGCTGTCCAGTGGGTAACCCTTGAGCAAACACAGGCTTGTGATTATGTAACCACGGGCATCAACGCAGCCATACATCTCAAGGGAGATTTTAATTCCCAGAAAATGCGGCCTCTTTTTTTTAATGTTTTAATTTTTTATTTAACCTAATATATTAAATTTTTATTCTAACATGCAATCAATACAAAACATTATTAATGAGGTTTTTTTTGTTTGTTTTTTTGGTTTTTTTGTCTAAGGCTTCAGAATCCAGTGTGTGTTCCGTACATCTCATCTGGGCTGCCCTCCCGTGCCTCAGGCGCTCAGTGATCAAGCACAGCTCTAGCTGGGGTTATCCCAGCTGTACACCGACGGACCAGTCTAAGTGTAGTTAGCAGCAGCAGCCCGAAGACCAAATTCCAAATAAAGGCTTCATAACTCACACGCTAAGCAACCCCACACTTTCCACAGCAATTTCTCTGTCCACCATTATCCATGCCCACACATTTCTTTGGGGATCTGTGACAATATAAATAGACTGTCAATTAAATGTGACCTTAGTTAGTTTTTTTTAATAACAAAGGCTTTACTGAAATATAGTTCACACACCGTACACATTTCTCCCCAGTATACAATTTAAACCAGGTATGGTGGCACACCTCTGTATCCCAGTACTCTTCAAGGCTGAAACAGGTAGAGCTCAAATTTGAGCCCAGCCCGGGCAACTTAGCAACTTAGGTAAGACCCTGTCTCAAAATAAAAACAAAACAAAGGGAAACAAAAGGGCTGGAGATGTAATTTAGTGTGAAGGCTTTGGGTTCGATCTCCAGTAACCCCCCCTCGCCCTCCAAATATACAATTGAATGACTTTAGGTATTATTTACACAGTTGTGCAACCATTACCACAATTAATTTAGAACATTTCATCTCTGAACAAGAAACATTACACCCCTTAGCATGTGTCACTCCTCCCTATGCCCCACCCCCACTTTAGCCAATCATTAGTCTACTCTATAGATATTAATCTCTATAGATTTGTGTATGCTGGATATTTCATATAACTTGAATCAAGTAATATGTAGCCCTTTGTGATTGGTTTATTGCACTTTATCACAATGTTTTCCTGGTTAATCTATGTTGTATGTATTTCACTTTTGTATAACTGCCAAATAATTTTTGGTTGTATGGATATCCCATAACGAATTCATCCATTCATCAGTTGATGGGCATTAAAGATCTTATGGGTCTTGCTGCTATAAACATTTATGTAAAAGTTTTTATGGGTAGATATATTTTTCTTGCTCTATACCTAGCAGTAGAATTGTTGCATAATTTGGTAATTTTGCATTTTGCCTTTGGATAAACTGCCAGACTCTTTGAAAGCAGCTGCACCATTTTACATTTCCACCAGTAGCATATATGGCTCTAATTTCTCCACATTTGTGCTAATGCTTTTTCTATTATCTGACTTTTATTACCATCCTACCAGGTATGAAGTTGTATCTCATTGTTGTCTTAATTTGCATTTCCCTGATCAGTAATGGTATATGTATATATTTCTCTATTCTGTCTATTCAGACTCTTCACCCACTCTCTACTTGGGTTGTTTTTTTAAATTTTTTATCTTTTTAACTATTGAGTTGTAAGAGTTCTTTTTATACTCTAGATACAAATTCCTCATCAGATATATGTTATAATTTTTTTCATTTTGAGGTTATGCTTTTCCCTTTCTTGACAGTATCTTTTGAAGCACAAAGTTTTCATTGGTGAGCAATTTATCTCTTCTTTTTCCTTTATTGCTCATACTTTGTGTCAAATCTAAGAAACTTCTGACAAATCCAGTGCCACAAAGATTTACACCTATGTTTTACTTGGCCATCTGTTTTAGTTCTTATTTTTAGGTCTTTGATACATTTGTTTGTTTCTTTCTTTCTTTGTAGTGCTGGGGATCAAACTCAGAGCTTCAGGCATGCTTGGCAAGTGCTTTACCACTGAGCTAACTCCAGTCCTCAGACCTTCTATCTACTCTTAATTAATTTTTGTATGTGGTGTGAGATAGGGGTCAACTTTATTTTTGAATGTAGATATTCAGTTGTCTCAACACCACTGTTGAAAAGACTTTTCTTTCTCCACTGAATAGTTTTGGTACCTTTGTTTTTTGGGGAGTTTGTTTGCTTTCTTTCATTGAGTTTATTGGTACTTTTTAGGTATACAGTACAGTTACATTCATCATTGGGAACTTGTACCTTTTCATAATATATCCTGGTTCTTATTTTTTCCCCATACCCCTGCCCTCCCTTCACCCCCTCCACCCTTCCCTATTTACAAAGACTTTGTTTCCATTTTATCCTTTTCTCATATTTTTTCTTTTCCCTTCCTTCCTTTCCCCTACCCTTCCCGCTTCCCTTACTCTTTTAGCCCTTGTCTTCCTATTTCACATTATCAATTATACAATTTGAATTTTATTTATATTTTTACTTTTTCATACCAGAGAAACTATTTGGTATTTGCATATGTGTGTCCTATTTATTTCACTTAAGAGTATGGCCTCGATATGCATCCTTTTAGCTATAAATGACTCTAGTTTCTCATTCTTTATGGCTGAGTAGAACTCCATTTTATAGAAAAACCACATCTTCTTTATCCAGTCTCTAATTGATGGACAATTGGGCTGTTTCCAAGTTTTAGCTATTACAAACTGTACAGCTATAAACATAGGTGAGCGTGTATCACTCACGCTCATGCTTTTTTTTAAAAAAAAAACTTGTACCTGTATTAGTTTTTTAATTCTTTTGGAGAAATACCCAGCAGGGGAATAGCTCGGTCAAATGAGACTTCTAATCCTAGTTGTTTAAGGTATCTCTGTATTGATTTTTTGGTACCTTTGTTGAAAATCTTTTCAACAGAGATGCATGGATTTACTTTTAGATCTTAAATTGTATTCTACTCATTGATTTAGCTGTTCTTATTCTATGCCATACTATCTTTTATTTGTTCTTCTGTTGTTTTCATTTTTTGAGGAAGGGCCTCACTGTGTAGTTCAGACTGCTCTGGAACTCACTATGTAGCACAGGCTGATCTCAAACTCACAGACCCTCCTGCCCAGCCTCCCGAGAGCTGGGATTACAAGTGTGTGCCACCACTCCTGGTCCATGCCATACTATCCTGATAACTGTAGCTTTGTAGTAAATTTTGAAATCAGAAAGTATAAGTCCTCTAGCTTTGTTCTTTTTCAAGACTGTCTTGGCAATTTGGGTCTACCCATTTCTGAATAAATTTTAAGATTAGTTTGTTAATTTTTGCAAAGAAACCAGCTGGTATTTTGATAGATGTTATGAGTCTGGGTATATTGTCGTCCCAATAACATTAAGTCCAATCCATGGGCATGGGATGCCTTTCACTGATTCAGGTATCCTTTAACTTCTTTCAATAATCTGTAGTTTCCAGTAAGCAATTTTGTATTTCTTTTTTAAAAAAAATTTGTAAGTATTTCTTTTTTCTCTTAAAATCTTTTATTGGTACATTTTAGGTATACATTACAGTTACATTCATCATTGGGAACTTGTACCTTTACATGATGTATCTTGGTTCTTATTTTTTCCCCATTCCCCTGCCCACCCTTAAACCCTCTACCATTTGCAAAGGATTTGTTTTCATTTTTTCTTTTCTCACATTTTTCCCTTTCCCTTCTTTCCTTTCCCCTAGCCTTTGGATCTTTTCTTCCTATTTCACATTATCAAATATTCATTTTAATCTTTATTTGAGTTTCTCATACTAGAGAGTATTAGTATTTCTTAGTGATATTGTAAATTATTATAAATTTTATTTATTTTTTATATTAGTAACAAATTTATTTATACAGTAGTCCTGCATAGGCATAAGAACTTCTTGGCATTATTTTTTAAAGAAAACATTATTTAATAAACTATATTATAACCCCAAAAGTATGCTGGAAAAGTATAAAAGGTTAAAGAGCTTCAGTTTAGTCCCACTTTCTGGTATGTCCTGAGTCACCATTCTTTCCTGTTTCTAAGATTATGATTTTTATTATAATTGGTTTAGTTTTAAGGTGGCAATATATTAAATTATTATTTATATAGGCTTTTCATTGTATGCAAAATTATGCATTGTAAGTGGAATGAAACAGCATTTCCAGCTGACAAACGGATCTGTGGGTAATAAGATCTTTTAAATAAAGCTTGTGACAATTAAACCAACAAATGGTGGCAATGAGAAAAGTATTGACAAAGTACAACCAGGGAATGTTCAACTCTATATATGCAGGCATCTGTACTTTAAGTAAAAGAATGAATGCTTGCAGCAGTACAAATGGTAACCAGGTACCAAGAAAACAGACAATGAGCTTGGGCAAGAGTATTCTTTTAGAGTTTACAATGTAACTAGGGAGGGATGAAGAAGAAAAATATAAGACAGGCTTATCGTAGAGGAAGTATTCAAATAGCCTGTACCAAGGTAATAACTTCTGACCAAGAGGTTATAAAAGCCATAAATAAAACTGTCATCATGGAAAGTGACAGGCAGTAACTCTGAATGCTGCATAGACAGGGCATTGGTAAGAATAAATATTCTGTGCCTTCAGGCTTTGGTAGATACCTGGTTCTCCCAAAACATAAGCAAGAACTGAAATCCAAATCAAAATTACTGCAAAGAAATATAACAACTCTGACATTTAGATGAAAGCTTGGTGAGTTTAGAGCAATTCAGGCAACAATATATTTAAGATATTAAGAAGACTGGGCGATGCAATAAGCCATAAGTAAAGGAAATAATTTGAGCAAAGAGGCAGATATGGTATTTAATAAACCTAATACCTAAAAATACAAAATCCCTGAAATAGGATATAATGGAAATGTTTACCAAAAATAAAAAATTGACAAATGCTAATGAAACACAAAAACATTCTATAAAATTTTGATAGCTGTTTTTCCTTCTCGTTCCTAGTGTGAGGATATTCAGTAATATTTTCCCAAGTATGATCAAGAACAACAGACAAGTAGC